TTAGCAGCTCCTCAACCTTGGCGTTGTCCGCCAGCCCAGAACCAAACCTTGCTCGGTGAGTTGTGCCTGTGGGCCATGACCTGTTCGTGCGACCTGCTCTGCATGTGAGGTGTGGGGCGGTCTGTCTGACGTGACGCGGTCGGACCTGAGATGGCGCCAGTGACTGTGGGTGGGAAGAGGCAGGTGACCTGCAGCTGTGTGAATGGACGGGTGGGATTCTGCGACGCGGTGCGTGACTGTGCGAGGGGGGTGTTGTATGTGAGGTGTTTTTGTGGGTGACCACAGGTCTTAGAATGTGTAGCTTGGGTTATGTGTGACTCAACCTTCAGTCTTACTGTATCAGTGTGACCGGAGCCGTTCAGAAACTGTGTCAGACTTAAGATAATGGCATGAATGGGGGTTTCTCTTTGGTCGCCTGTGGGATTGTGATAGTAAAGCCTTCCTTGGTGGCTCAGACGTTAAAGAATCTGCCTGCAGTGCAGGAGACCAGGGTTCGGCCCTGGGTCGGGAAGATCCCCTGGAGAAGGGAATAGCTGTCCATTCCAGGATTGATAGCTGTTTTCCAGTTTTCTTTCCCCATTTATAAATAGGGTACTAATTCCACATCTCCTATTACCCTGATATTCTGCAGCAAAGCACAAACAACATAAAACATGATACAGACATGACTCTTACAGAAACTCAGAATTATTACAGCGAACAATTCAAAATCAGCCTACAATGTTAAAACATGAAGATGGGATTCAAAACAGTTCCTTATTATGGTGCAGCCCGTCTTGGCTCTGTCCCAAACATTGCAGTTCGTCATTCATTTCCTTTTGCTGATTGGAATGTGGTTGCAGAAATTCAGGAGGCCTTGGGCTGCAGATTTAGTTTTACCATCCTGAAGCACGGATCTAAGGTACGCCTGACCTGCTCTGCCCACTCTCCGAGGGACGCTTTCCCTCAGAAGGTCTCAAAGCTCATCCAAGGCATCAGTTTTTCCCTGAACCGGACCCAGAGTTTCTATCCCTTAATATAGTATTGTTTTCATCTGATCTCGTGGTTTCTGCATATCTTTTTACGTCTTCAAGCTTTTGAATCATGAGGAAATAATCCTTATTTGAAATAGTAAAGACTTTAAAATAGAAATAAAAAATTGGGAAGTACTAATTTAGAAGAAAATTATCTTGGGCTTAAAAAAAAACAGAAGACATGAGGTTATCTAAACACATCCCATTAAGTTCCTGAATTCTGCAGATAGAAACTCTTGCCAAATACTGGGACAGAAGCAGTTGCTGTGGTAGGCAGAATATGGCCCTGCAAAGATGTACAGTCCGAAGTCCCACGAATCTGTGGGTATGTTGTTACATGGCAAGAGGGAACTGAGTTGCAGACAGAACTAACGCTGTTACTCAGCGGACCTTAAGACAAGTTTTTGCTTCCCAGGTGGCTGAGTGGTAAAGATCCGCCTGCAATGCAGGAGACACAGGTTTGACCCCTGGATGGAGATCCCCTGGAGAAGGAAAGGGCAACCCACTCCAGTATTCTTGCCTGGGAAATCCCACGGACAGAGGAGTCTGGCAGGCTGTAGTCCACGGGGTTGCAAAGGAGTTGGACACGACTTAGCGACCAAACAAGACAAGTTTATTCTGGGTTGTCCAGATAAGCTCAATATAGTCAGAAAGGTCCTTTAAAGGTGAAAGAGGGAGGCAGAAGAGACAGTGTCAGAATGATGCATCGTGAGAAAGACTCCCTAGGCTACTGCTAGCTATGAAGATGGTAAGGGCCACACCAAGGAAGATGGGTAGCCACCAGAATCTGAAAAGGCTAGGAAGTCGATTGGTCTAATGAGCCTCCAGAAGAGAACACAGCCCTGTCAGGACCTTGAATTTGGTCTGGGGAGACCTATTTCAGACTTTTGACTTCCAGGTAATAAATATGTGTTGTTTTAGGCCACCAAGTTTTGATCATTTGTTACAGCAGCAACAGGAAATAAATACATCCCCATAAGCTAAGAAAAACAGGCTAGAATTTGGGTTCCCCTTCTGGAAGATCAAAAGCCAGAATTAAGTGACATCTCTGGATTACTGAGAAAAAAAACTGTAAGAACATTTCACCAAACAAAAATATAATTTGTGCAGGACATAGACGGATTCAGAGAATACCAGCTATATAACATTTATTGAGATAAATACAATACTCAATAAAATAGTCTAACCAAATTGCATCTGAAATAAAACCATTACCTCAAGGCAGGAGAAAACAGTAATTAAAAAAGAAAACAGTGGCTAGCAATGAATGTTACTTTGAATACTCTTAAGTTTAAATGGAAATCATGAATGGCTCTGGTAATATAAGCATATAAGCATCAAGTAAGAGTAAAACCAAGAGCTTTGGACTGTGGGTTTTCATTAGGTCAGTGCAGTGGAGAAAATGTTAAAGAATAGGCTGTGAAGGAGGGGAAAGAGAAAGGAATGATGGTCTCCTGGAGGAAAGTGGCAAAGAAAACTAATAGTGGGCTAGAAAGTACAATTGTGCTCTCATTCTGCCCAACAGTGATGAAGAATGGGGAAATAATTACTATGCTAAGCACAGTGGGAAGTTTCAATTTAGCAGGAGAAATAAGGAAAGGAAAAGGCCAAGAAAACATAAATAGTACACACCAAGTAAAATGAAAGGAATATGATGGTTATTACACTAAATAAAAATATGAATTTCCTTATAGAAAAAGAAATTTGTAATTTTGAGTTATTTTAAAAATCCTTTTTTTTTTTAATAACTAAAATGACAGAAGTTGAAAATAAATGGGTGGACAAAAACATACCAGGTAAACAAGGATAAGTTATTAGTAGTGTTACACAGAATGGAAACAAAACACCAAAAGGATTATACTAGGCCAAGGTTAGCAAACTTCTTATCTAGAGGGCCAGACACGAAATAAAAAGATATTGTGGCCATAGATCTTGTTGCAGCCACTATCACTGTTGTAGATAGCATATAAATGAGCATGTCTGTGTTCCAATAAAACTTTATGTATAAAACAGGCAGCAGGCTAGATTTGGTTTGTTGATCCCTATACGTGGCAGAGTAGGATAGTGATAAAAGTATGATTCATAAATAGGAATTAAGTTATATGTCTTTATAGATCAAACAATTAAAAAGTAAAGTCTCTGGAAATTCAAGACTGGCTAAAAAATTCAATTTTAGAAAATTCTAAACCAGAAAAATTAATCTATACCAAATTATATTAGAATGTGGAGAACTGGCTTAAATAGAATCTTGTATCTAAAAAAGAATATATATTCTTTTTCAGTATAATGGAACATATACAAAAATCAGTCCTGTACTTAGCCACAAAGAAAAATGTCTAACTCAAAAAAGTAGATACTTTCAGGCCACCTTTACCAATCATAATAAAGTAAAATTTGAAGTTGATCATTTAGAATGCTTTCAGCTGCAAGTTTACAAAATATTCAACTAAAAGTAACTTAGGCAATAGAGATTTATTTTTCTTATATAACAAAAGCATCAAAGAGACAGTTCCAAATTGGCCCTGTAACTCTGTGTTGTTAGGGTTCTGGGTCAGCTTCTTTGAGGTTCTCTCTTTTCTGCTCTTGGTTCCAAGATGACTGCAGCAGCTCCAGGCATCAGGTTCTCAGAAAAAAAATGTTTAAAAGCAAGAAATGAAAGAGGGAGTCTTCCTAATATATCTGTCTCTTCTGAATAAGGAAGATCTTTCTCTGAAGACCCTGTAGATCCTTAGAATATACTGGCCATACACTGGAATGGATGGGCCATCTTGAGCTGCAGAGGAGGCTGAAAGTTGGCATCTGACATCTTCAGATTCTAAGACAAGACACATGCCGCCAATAGAATGGGAACTGACTGTGGCTGCTAGGTAGGCAAGCAACCTGTTCTGTCTGTGACAAGTTATAAAAGATAATACAAACAAACAACCTGAAAATTAAGGAACAGTCTCCTAAACTTAATTACCCTTGGATCAGAGAGAGATAAAACATGAGATTATTGTAGGATGTGTGCTTAGTTGCTCAGTCGTGTCCGACTCTTTGTGACCCTATGGACTGTTAGCACATCAGGCTCCTCTGTCCATGGGATTATCCCAACAAGAATACTGGAGCCAGTTGCCATTTCTTCTTCCAGGAGATCTTCCCGACTCAGGGATAGAACCTGAGTCTCCTGCAGCTCCTGCATTGGTAGGTTGATTCCTTACCACTGAGCCACCTAGGAAGCCTTAGGAGAGAAAGTAGGAGAGCTACTTTCTATATCATCATTTTCTGCCTTTCTTTTCTATTTATCATCAGGGTGTTTGGTATTCTCTTTTCTGGCTTCTTAAGTAGTACATTTAATATATTTGAGTTCTGTCTTTCAGGTTTTCATGTTTGCATGCACTTAAAGGCATAAAAAATTCCCAAGTAGCTTCAGCCACATCCCACATTTCTTGGCATGTAAAACTCTCCTTCTCATTGTTCTCATTACTATCAGTGGTAACTGCATGATATGGTTTCTTGTTAACCCAGGAGTAATTTGGCATGTTTTGTTTTTGAATTTTCAAGAAAATTCACTTTTGGCTGTTGTTAAAATTATTACACTGTGGCGAGAAAATGTAACTTTGAAGTGTGTTAGAGACAAAATTTTCTCCAACCTTATATAATTTTTCTTCAATATGAATTTTATTCCTTAGGATAAAAGAAAGCTCTGAATAAAGGAACTCACTTGCATGACATCCTTCAAGTCTTTCTCCAAGATATAAAGAGTAAGTTGTGATTAGCCTAAGCTAATGGACTCTTCCCATTATTTCCATTCATATGATTGCTTGCTAACATAAATTCTCTGATGATTAATAAAGGATAAGTGCTGATGGAAGGCTTTTCTACATTTATTAAATTCACTTGTGTTTGTCTGTTATGCATTCTCTGATGTTGAACGGTAGCTGAATCATGATTTAAAGTCCTCCCATGTTCCTTATATTCATAGGGTTTTTCCTCAGTATGAATTACCTGATGTTGAATCAATTGTGAGCAGTGGCTGAAGGCTTTCCCACATTCCCTACATTCATATGGCTTTTCACCTGTATGAATTCTGTAATGTACAGTAAGATGAGAGACCCGTTTGAAAGCCCTACCACATACCTTACATTGGTAGGGTTTCTCTCCTGTGTGAATTCTCTGATGTTGCTTAAGTTGTGAGCTCACCCTAAAGGCCCTCCCACATGCCTTACATTCATAGGGTTTCTCACCAGTATGAATTCTCTGATGTCGAATAAGAGTTGAGCCTTGATTAAAGGCCTTCCCACATTCTTTACATTCATAGAGTTTCTTGCCGGTGTGAACAGTCTGATGTTGAATCAGCTGAGAACGATGACTAAAGGTTTTCCCGCATTCCTTGCATGCATAGGGTTTTTCACCAGTATGAATTCTATAATGCACTTTAAGATGTGAGATCCGATTAAAAGCCTTGCCACAGTCCTTACACTGATAGGGTTTCTCACCAGTATGAATTCGTTGATGTTCAATCAACTGTGAGCTTCGACTAAAGGCCTTTGCACAATCCTTACATTCATAAGGTTTCTCACCAGTATGAACTCGCTGATGTTGTATGAAATTTGAACCAGAATTGAAGGCCTTCCCACATTCCTTACATTCATACGGTTTTTTGCCAGAATGAATATTCTCATGTTGAATTAGTCGTGAACCATATTTAAAGGCCTTCCCACATTCCTTGCATTTATAGGGTTTCTCATTAGTCTGAATCTCTTGATGATTAATAAAGAAGTCCTCTTGCCAGAAGTCTTTCGTACATTCATTATATCCATAGGGTTTTTCTCCAGTATGAATTTTCTGATAAAAAGTAAGGGGTGCTGGCTGGTCGAAAGTGGGTATTTCTTCATTATCGATTATCATTTGACTCAGATGTCCATCTGGATTTTCCTCTTCCCTGTCAGAATGACTTCTGCATTCCCAATCATCTTGGAAACTTGAGCCGTAATTTGTAAGGCTTTTCATTATCTTCCATGGGGGTGATTGTACTTCATAACTGTGCTGCTTTGGAGAGAATACTGTAGCATCATATCTGGACTTCAGTACTGAAAAAGAACAAAACAAGTAGGTGTGTGTTTTTTCCTTTTCCAGAAAAAAGAACTTTTGTAGTAAACACTGGAAAGTTGAGACTCAAGATAATATCTGTATGCTCTTGAATGTGATAAATTAGAAAATGGACAAGTAGAGAAAGAGGAAATACCATAAATTGAGGTGAATGAGGTAATCAGAGAAATCATTAAGAGTTGTTCTAAAATGTTAATGTGGAGCAGAATCACTGCAAAACCATGGTTTTAAAAAATGAATGTTTCTGTGAAACCCTAGAAAAGACAAATATAAGAGTAACAGAAAGCAAATCATTTGTTGCTTGTGGCTAGGGGGTATGAATGATTGTGTGGGAAGGAGCACAAGGGAACTTTTCAGGGTGATGAAAATTTATCTTGTCTGTGGTACTGGTCATATAAGTGTACACCTTTGTCATTAGTCATTAAAATATGCTTAAAATGCAGGCATTAATTTACTATAAATTGAACCTCAATAAAGCGGATTTTTTAAAACGATAAAGAGGGTTGACTAGATACTTCTCTGGCCAGAGGAATGAGATGGTGCATCTGCTTGATGGGGGTGTGGTGGTAGAGCAGGGCTGTTTTCACACACCCACTGGAAGTTGTAATAACACAGCTGTGGTCTTCTGCTGTGGCGCTTTCTGTCTCTGATGTTTAGCTGAACACAATGGCTAGAGCTAATGTCAACTGGACCAGTCTCTCCTGGACTTTCCTGTTGCCTAAAAGTGACCTGGGAAAAAGGAGGGCCTTGTTTCCTTGTTTGGAAGATTAGGCCCAAATTGAATGGAGGTGGCCTCTTCCAGAGCATATTCTTTGCTGTTATTCAAACTGCAAGGAAGGGCTGAATGGTGTTGCTGAACTTGACTCATGTACCTGGTACATGATTTCTACTGCAGTGGCCTGTTTTACTGCAATCATGGAAATCAGTCCCGTTTGGCTAATAAAGAATTGGTTGCTGCTTCATGCAGGGAACTATGGGGAAAGTAAATGGGAGCTTTTGAACATGTTCATAAAGTATATGAGAAGGCCAAAGAGAACTTTATAAGGGGCATGTCTACTTCTTACGGTAGCATATCAGAGACTACTATTCATTTGTTTTTTGTGTGAAATTATTAGGCAAAAACTACTGGAGTAACAAATTACTTTGACAATACAGATGAGAAGTCTGTAAAAGAAGTATCAATTTTGTGGGAATGATGCTGCTGTCACCTCAAAAATTTGTACCACAACCACAGGGTATGCATACACATGAAGTTGTAATTACAAGACTATGCGCAAAGATCATACACCGTGTTTCGTTGTTCAAGAGGGAAGCTCTCTTTATGGGTCTCTGTACTGTGGTCTAACAGCTGTGGGAAGGCAGATTCTAAACACTGCCATTGTAATGACCACCTATGCATCCGTGGTCCGTCTACTCAGCGGTCAGCAACATCTGGCTGCCATCGTATAAAGAAGGGCAACCAAAAGATCGCAGTGGGCCATGGAATATTAAAGCCAGCCTGGTGGACAGAAGAAAATGAGTTTGGGATCATGTAACTATGCCCAAGTGGAAGTCTGGTTTTAGGAATTAAAGTGATCACACATTATTGGTGTTTTGGGCAATGTGGGAAAAAAGAAAAACAGAACAGCTATCTCTAAGCATATGCCATTAAAAGAACGCCTCTCTCCAAACCGCTGCATATTCTGTCAAGACATCTGACAGTTTAGTTCTGTTGACTGATGACAGTCAGAGTACAGTGTTTATTCCATGAGCACTTTTGCACTTATCTAAATTAAGCCATCTCTAATCATATATTGTGAAATAACTTTACAAAGGTAGTACTGATTTTCTAACTTTTAGCTTCTCTTCTCCTTGTAAAGTTGGAAAATAGCAAAAATAATAGTGAGGTCCTCCGTATTATTTTTACATTTTCCTGACAAGATCTGATACAGTTTTTTAATTTAGCATTAGTAGATGCTGTTTTTGACAACCGATGAGGTAATGTCTAAAAATCTTAGGGAAAGTCTTAGCAGGTTTTGTTTTGGTTGGTTTTTTCATATGGAATCTTAAAGGATCCCAAATGGCCAAAACAATCTTGAAAAGGAAGAACAATGGAGGCCTCTCTCACTTGTGATTTCAAAACATGTTAAAAGAGCTGCAGTAATCAAAACTATGGAACTACCATAAAGGAAAATATTTATCCAGTGGAACACAATAGGGACAGCAGAAATAAACTCTTACACATATGGTCAAATGATCTTCAACAAGGGTGCCAAGACCACACAGTGAGGAAAAGACAGGCTCTTCAACAAATGGGGCTGAGAAAGTTGGATATGCCAATGCAGAACAAAGAAGGAGAACCCCAACCTTACATTAAATATAATAACTCAAATTGGATTAAAGACCTAAACCTAAGATATTAAGCTTGTAGAAGAAAACAAGGGAAAAGCTTCATGACACTGCATCTCACAGTGATTTTTTGGACATGGTACCAAAAGTGCAGGCGCCAAAAGTAAAACTGGACAGATGGGATTCTATCAAACCTAAAAGCTTCTGTGCGTCAGAGGGAAAAATCAACAGGGTGAAAAGGCAACCTACAGAAGGGGACAAAATATCTACAAATCATGTATCTGATAAAGGGTTAATATACAGGCAATATAAAGAACTAAAACTCAACCAAAAAATAACCTGATTTCAAAATGGGCAAAGGACTTGAATAGACATTTTTCCAAAGAACACATACAGATGGCCAACAGGCATGAGATTCAGTATTCAGAGTTTGGTATTAGGAAATCTACTCATGTAATCCATATTTTATAGATTGAAAGAAAAAAACTTAATAAAATTATGAAAAAGTAGATGATTCTTTAAGTGAAGAAAACATCCCTATGTCATTCCTATGGCTGATATTATGCTTAATAAAAGTTACTAAAAATATTCCTGTTAAGGTTAAGAACAAGATTAGTATGTAAAGCCCTCTTCATACTGTTCTGGGGGTACTACATAATTAGCATCCTAGTCAGGCAAGTCAAAAAAACCTGTAAGATAGAAAAATGTAAAAACAGCACCATTTGCAGATACATATATAATACATATTATATATATATATAATCAAATGCTTGGAAAGCTCAGGAGAGTTACATAAAAAAAACTGTCATACTTTTGGACTCCGTGGGAGAAGGCGAGGGTGGGATGTTTCGAGAGAGCAGCATGTATATTATCTATAGTGAAACAGATCACCAGCCCAGGTGGGATGCATGAGACAAGTGCTCGGGCCTGGTGCACTGGGAAGACCCAGAGGAATCGGGTGGAGAGGGAGGGGGGATCGGGATGGGGAATACATGTAACTCCATGGCTGATTCATGTCAATGTATGACAAAACCCACTGAAATGTTGTGAAGTAATTAGCCTCCAACTAATAAAAATAAATGAAAAAAATAAAAAATAAAGATCACCTCCATGATGCAGGCGAAAAAAAAAAAAACTGTCATAAACAATGAGAAAATTCAATAAATTGGGTCAGCTACAAAATTCATCTGAAGATGAGACTAGCTCTGTCATATTAGAAAATAGCCAGTTGGAGTATAATATGGATGAATGCCATATTAGTCCATATTATAGATTATGCCATTTCCAATAGCAATAAATATAAACTACCTAGGAATAAATGTAATAAGACATACAGAATCTTTATAAAGAAAATGTTAAAATCTTCATCAGGTATGATCATAAAGGAAGGGAAAAGCCTGCTGTGTTTTCAATAGGAGATTCCACGTGATAAAATCAGTTTTCTCTTAATCTATAAATTCATAGTGATTACAGTAAGAAAAAAAATGCATGATTTTTTTTTTTTTGGAAAGCAAATATTCTGATTCTAAGGTTTAGAAAGAAATATAAATGAGAATAGCCAGAAAAATTCTGAAAAACAAGAATGAAGAGGGACTAATACCAGATATATAAAACATTTAAATGCTTAATAAACTAAAACAGTAATGCTATAGACACATGGTTAGAGATTAATGGGCTACAACAGAAAGTCCAAAAATAGATTCAGATACACAGATGATAAAGCAGATGACGAAGGTGGCTTTTATACATTAGTGATGAAGAGATAAACTGATAAATGCTGTTTGAATAACTAGATAATCTGGAAGGTAACATGAAATCCCATCTTAACAGTAGGAAAAATTCCACATGGATCATAAATATCATTGTAAATAAGCTAGAAAAAAATCATAGGAGACTCCTAACCTGAAAGGATGAAGTTCTCCTGAAATGACACAAACCCATAGGACAAAGGAGTAAAGAAACAGCACCTCAGACACACTCTGTCAAAACTCAGATGACAAAAGCAAAGATCTGTCCTCTGACATTCTTGGTGTGGTAGGTAGAATAACAGCCTCCCTGATACGTCCGTGTCCTAATTCCCAGACCCGAACATGTTAGATTACAGGGCAACAAACGCTGCCTCTCCCCGTGCTCACCCCACGCCTGACCTCACTCACGCCCAGGGGTCATGCTTGCTTCTTAGCTTCCCATTTAAAATTCTCTTATAGTACACTGTATGTTGCGGAAATCGTTTATGGACGTGATTCTGGTCCTGTGTCACACTGTGGCTTTGAGTCTCATCAGGGAAGATTCTGCATGCACGCAGATGTGTACACACACACACACCCCCCACACGTACACCCCCTCAGGGACATCTGGCAGTGTCTGGAGACATTTTTGGCTTTACAAATGAGGGGAGGCCAGGGAGGCTGCTAAACATACTGCCATGCATAGAATGACATCCCCACTTCCCGCCCCCACTAGCTCCCCAACAAAGAATTATCCCACCCAAAATGTCAACACCGCTGAGGTTGAGAAACCCCCCATCCAGATCAGGAGCACCCCAGGCAAAGGACAGCCTCAAAACAGGAATACACTTGATGTGTCGAAGCCAGCATGTGTGGACTCGCATTGTCTGCTCGCGTGCCCCTACAGCAGAGCTGAGGAGCTGTGACACAGACCAGGTAGCTGGCGAAGCCTGAAATACGTCCTGTCTGGACCTTTAAAGAAGACATCTGCCAAACTCTACATGAACGGAGCAGCAAGAGAGGCTGGTGTGGCTGTAACCGAGCAAGCAACACGGGGTGGTGCGAGACGAAATCAGAGTAGAGGCAGGCGACAGATTGCAGAGGCACCTCAGGCCAACAGGAGTTGCTGGGATACTGAAAGCATTCTATTCTGCACTGCCCACCAGTGCAGCCCCTAGCTACTCATGGCTACTCAGCATCTGAAGTGTGGCGTGGGCAGCTGTGACATGGAATTTCACTTTTCCTTTTAGTTAAAAGCCACAGCACGTGTGCCTGATGGCTGCAGTACAGACATAGAGCCTTCTAGGCCATGGGATAGATTCGGGCTTTTCTCTTGAGTGAGACAGGAAGCTGTGGGCAAGTTGTGAGCAGAGATGTAATACTGTCGCTGAAGATTGAGAGGGGTTCCCAGGTGGCACAGCAGTAAAGAATCCGCACAAGAGTGGACGCAGAGTGGGGGGAGGCGGCCACTGCACCTCCGAGTGGTGGGGGGCATGTGGGAGGTCGCAGTGTTGCTTGTTGGTGAAAAGTGGCTAAATTCTGGATATATTTTGAGGTAGAGCTAACAGGATCTGCTGACAGACTGAATACGTGTGTGAGACGGAAAAGTAAGGGATGCTTCAGCAGTTTTTGACTTAAGCAAGTCAGGTAGAGTCCCCTCGTACTGATGTGCAGAAGAAACGGGCGGGAGGTGGTATACTTGTCAGGGATGTCCCTTTGGGACGTAAGTTCAAGGTGTCTGGTGAACATCCGAGTGGAGCTGATAGGATACGTATCGAGTTCAAGGGAGAAGCTGAAGCTGAAGGCGGTAATTCGTGATAAAGAACTTGATCCTGTGGTGGGAACATTGTCTATCTGCACTGTCCAGTACAGTAGCCACTAGCCACAAAATAGCTACTGAACATCTGGAATGTGTCAAGTGCAACTGAGGTACTGAATTTTGAAATGGATATAATTGTAGGGAATTCCCCGGTGGCCCAGTGGTTAGGACTTCTGTGCTTCTAATGCCGAGGGCCTGGGTGCAATATCTAGTCGGGGCACAAAGATTCCACAAGCCTGGAGACACGGCCAAAAAAGGAAAACGTATTTACTTACAGTGAATTTAAATTTCCGTGGCCACGTGTGGCCAGTGGCTCCTCCTCAGCCAGCACAGGTGGGAACGGTGTGTATCACGCGGCCCTGGAGAAGGTCCCGGGGAGCAGACGCACACAGCAGAGGCCCAGGGCCGAACCCGGGGCGGTCCAGCTTGTGCTGAAGGTGAGCTCCGACTCAAAGCACCTGCCTCCTCATCAGCCCGCTGGGCAGTCACCCACACTGCCTTCTCTCTTCCCACACATGCCTCACTCACCTGGGCACAGGCCTCCTGCTGCCACTTCCTCCACCGTCCAGGGCTCTTTGCCTTGCTCCAGGAAGGAGATCACATCAGGTTTGGAAACGGCAAGACCTGGACGTAAGAAAAAAACATGCCACCCGGTTATGCTGTGGGGCCTCAGAGTTCAGATCCAGGGTTAACAAGCAGGACAGGCAAGAAGGGCCAAGGGAAGAGGAGAGTCACATGAGGGTTGGGGCAGACGCAGCTTCAGGCCAAAGAGCTGCCCTCTAACCACTCAAAAGACCCTCGACATTGACAAGGAACCCATGTGGCCCGGGGTAACCTCCAGAGTAACAGACCGCACCGCCTTACCCAGTGAGACCAGGTTGCTATAGGTCTCCAACATCACGTCTCTGTACAGATCCCTCTGAGTGGGTGCCAGCTGTTCCCATTCTTCTTGGGAGAAGACTATGGCCACATCCCTGAATAAGTCTGACCCCTGGAACAACAGGCAGGTATGCTATAAGCATATTTCACGGAAACATTTTTCCATGGGATGAGAGGCGATGGAGGACGTCTCTGCAGGAATGGGGTGTCCTGGAGAAGAAGGCTGGGGCTGGAGGCACCTGACGTGACAGGTGAAGGAAAAGATAAGCACAGGTAAAAGAGAGGTTCAAGTATTCCTGCTTGAATACCAAGCTCGTGTGCTCGGGTCCAGGAGGAAAACTAAACCCAGCCAGATCGAGTTCTCCCGGTTAGGACAGTGTCATCGAGCATACTGCCTACCCTGTGCTTGGTACATGATAAATTCTCTGTGTGAGGCCTGTCATCTGTACTTCTAGGAGTAACAGCAACAAAACCCAACAATTTGGGGGTAGTCTTTCCTCAAAATGTTAAAAGAAATATTTAGTATCTTGTGCATGCTCAGTCGTGTCTGACTCTTTGTGACCCCGTGGACTGTAGCCCCCCAGGCTCCTCTGTCCACGGACTTTTTCAGGCAAGAAAAACACTGTCCACGACTTTTTCAGGAATGGCTTGCCATTTCCTCCTCCAGGGGAATCTTCCTGACCCAGGGATGGAACCCGCTTCTCCTGCATTGGCAGGTGGATTCTTTACCACTGAGCCGCCTGGGAAGCCAGGTATTTTACCTTAGAAAATAGAGTTTTCGTTTGTCAAGAACTGCTTGAAGACATAGGCTGATCATTATATGAAAACATGTCACACAAATTTTTCCTATGGGACAAATCTTGAATGATGATTACTTTTATTAGCTGCATAATTGATTATCAAGTGAAATAACTGACTCAACCATTCTTTTATTTTGGATGCAGAGGTCTCCAAGGTCTTTGTCCTCTTTCAAAACTATGACTATCCAGATTTGGAACAATGCATCCTTCTAACTGATGGTCTTACAGTCCCAGCTCTGCACTGTGCTTGCTTTTAAGCTGAAGAAGCTGGTGGAGAATGACCGAGATTCCAATGCTCTGTTCAGCCTCAAACTGGACCTTAATGCAGGCATTTAATCTCCTAGATGCCCTGATAAACTTCAGTTACACACCCAACTGTCAATATAGGAGATGGTGACCCCACACTGAAATTGAGCCCAACCAATACCAACTCCCCTGATTTTGTGTGTGTGATCTCTCATCAGTATTCATCTCCATTTCATCAAATCTCAGTTCTTGTAAGGGATGTTCTCATTTTATATAAGGAAATGGACTTCTTCTCCCTCTGGCCTCCCAGCAGAATACCAAGCCATCAGAAGACACAGAATTCTATACAGAATGAATCCACGTGGGCACTGGTCAGCGTGGATGGGGCCAAGGGGGAGGGAACCTCTGAGAAGCAGATTCTTGGATGGAACCCAGGGGGGAAACCTCAGGATAAGGAAAACAAATATTTACATGATTTGAAAACTCACGAGGGACATGACTGTCAGGATCTCATGGGCTGCTACGTCCTCCTCTTGGTTTGTCTCTTGGGGAAGGGCAAAGTCCTGAGATGACAGACCTGAGCGGGGAAAGAGCAATCATATGAGAGGTCAGGCTTGCCTCACAGCTCCCAGAAAGTGTGCAGTGACAGTGCCCACTCTGCTCCCCACTGCCCAGTTACAGGGCGCCTTCCCCAGCTCCACCTTGTTACTGATGCGATCTGAGGGGGCACGCATGGACCTGGGCCAGTGACTGAGAATTGGGTCCCTGGGACAAGGAAGGCTGTCCTCAGGCCAGGGAGCACAGCCTGCCTGATCTGCTCAGTGAAACCTTCCCAGAACCAAACCGTTTAATACTCTCGTGCCCATACCCTCAGAGGTCTCCCTGGCTCTTAACCTAACTTTCTAATTCATAAAGAACCCTACAGCCCTACCTAAGGTCTGGCAGGCACCATTTTGCAGACCCTGCCTTGAGTCAACACATGTTTGCAGTGGGCAAATCAGATGGGGCAGGCCCAGTACTCCACCATAAATAAGCCTCTGCACAGAGATGTAAGTGAGCGAAGCTTTGGGCACAGTATTTGCTGAAAAATGGAATCAAGATTAGTACATAACATTTCACAAGTAGGCGAGTGGTTGAATTATATGGATGTCAAGCAACTATCAAAAGTCATGTGGGACAACATCAACCGACAAGTATGTTCGCACTTGGATCCCTTCTACAACAAGGTAACATTCAGCAACAGAAGTCAAACCCACCCACCTACTGACAGGCAGGCTAACACCGTCCAAAAAAAACTAAGTTAAACTGGAATGGAAAACATCCAAGTATTAAGAATGATGCCATTTAACCACTTCCTGAGTTCATCAGTAAAACAGTATTTTATAAAAGAGCTTAGGACATTGCCCAACATGTAACAAATACTTAATTCTTAATGTGTAAACGGAATAATGATTTTGTTTAGTCGCTAAGTAGTGTACGACTCTTGCGACCCATGGACTGTAATCCACCAGGCCCCTCTGTCCATGGGATTCTTCAGGCAAGAATACTGCAGTGGATTGCCATTTCCTTCTCCAGGGGAATTTTCCCCAACCAGGATCGAACCTGTATCTCCCGCATTGCAGGTGAATTCTTTACCACTGAGCTATCGGGGAAGCTCACTGTTTCTTAATATCACGTAGAAGGCCGTTTTCCTTATGACAACTTTCTTTAAAGCATTATTTGTATTTGCTCTAACTATTTCATTACAGGGGTGGCCCGTGACTTACTCAGCCATCTTCCCATGAATGTATCATGATAGTGAAAGTCGCTCAGTTGTGTCCAACTCTTTGGGACCTAGTCCATGGGATTCTCCAGGCCAGAATACTGGAAGGGGTTGCCTTTCCCTCCTCTGGGGATCTTCCCAACCCAGGGATCGAACCCAGGTCTCCCGCATTGCAGGCGGATTCTTTACAAGCTGAGCCACAAGGTAAGCCCCAATGGTTGGACTAATTTTAAACAAGAATATAATAATATGTTTCTAAGTCGCAGCTTGTAAACTAGAGGTTCCAAATTTTCAGGGGTCTTCCAACTCTGAGAGTCTCATGAGACAAGACTTCACCCCAGATTTTTAAAAGGATGCATAAGAAAAATGCAAAACATCCATAAGCAAGCAGTTTCGGGGGGCCGCGACCCCCAACAGGCACACCCACCTAAGGGGTCCATGGACCCGGGCCATGAGCCCTGGCGGCAAACGGCGGCGGCAACCGGCGGCGACAGCAGGGCGCGCCGCGGGGGCCGATGGGGAGTGTAGTCCGGAGCCAGGAAAGCCGCCGACAGACGGCGAAACGAGACGTTCCGGTTCTTTCCAGGCCCGTGACCCGCCCGGCCGCGGCGCGCAGTCCGGCGCAGATCCCGGGGCTCCTGGTAAGCTCCGGAGCCCCTCACCTGCCAACTCCTCTGGTCCAGGTGCCCCGCAGCCGCGCCCCCAGCAGCCCCGGGTGCGCTTCCTCGTCCGTGCCAGTGGACTCAGGAGCCGGAAGATGGCGCAGACGCACAAAGCACTGCCGATGCTGCGTCGCGGTTGGACAGGCGCCGCAGTGTCTTCTGGGAAACGTAGTCTCCGGTCCTTAAGGCTGGCCCCAAGGAGCAAGACTGCGTCTCGCGATGCTTCGAGTGGGCGGGGCTCCTGCGTAAATCGGTGCGTGGGAAACCGTCTGGGATACGAATGTGCCTTGTGGGATTCGTGGGTCGCCGGGTGAGTGCCTTGGCGTCGGGCGCGCTCTTCTCGCGTGGCTGTCTCCCTGATGCAGGTGAGTGTGGGCGTGGCCGTGCCCGGGTGAGCTGTGTTCGGTTCTGACTCGGTCGTTGAGTGTGTGACTGGGACCGTTAAACGCCGGGTATGTTTGTGTGTGTAAAATCGGCATGTGGGAAAAAATCCCATTATTAAATCACCGTCGCCGTGGAACAGCCGTTTTACTGGAAGACTTGGAGGGAGGAAAAAGCCCGAGAGTTCGTTTGGTAACTAATTTTATTTATCTATTTTTTTGGTAACTAATTTTAAAACGTTGTTGTTGTCGCTCAGTCGTGTTGGACTCTTTGCGACCCCAAACACTCCAGGCTTCCCTGTCCTTCAGGATCTCCCGGACTTTGCTCAAATCCTGTCCATCGAGTCAATGATGCCATCCGACCACCTTGTCCAATGTCGTCGCCTGTCCTGTCCTCAAGCTTTCCCAGCATCCGGGTCTATTCCAGTGAATCGACTCTTCACATCAGGTGGCCAAAGTATTGGCCAGGAGGCTCAGTGGTAAAGAATGGGCCTGCTGGACAGGAGACGCAGATTTGATCCCTGTGTCGAGGAGATCCCCTGGAGAGGGAAATGCAACCCGCTCAAGGATTCTTGCCTGGCGAATCCCATGGATGGAGAAACTTGGTGGGCTATACTCCGTGTGGTCGCAGAGAGTCCGACACGACTTAGGGACTAAACAATTTTAAAACATTATGTCACAAGAATGGTGAAATACTTGAAGATTATGAAGGAAAATACAGAATCAGCAAAAAGGTTTTGAAGGAGATGTCAAAGAGTTTTCTGTTATGAGATGATATTTCTCGGCTAAGACCCCTAGCTACAGGTAGTTCAACTTTGGTTTGTGAAAGCGTGAGAAGCCCTGAACTTTGCCGATCCCCGGACAGCATGTTCTGATATGGTGGGAAGTCCAATGTTCTGGATCTGCTCAGACCCTGTTAACCTGGCCTGTGAATGAGGAAAACATTTCGGTCCAGGGTGATACAATTGTCCCTGAGCCAGACCCAGTCCAGCGCCCTTGCCTCTTGAGTTGTCTTACAACACGTTCTCTTGCATCTGCCTTCTTGAAACGTTTTTTCTGAGATCTGTGCATATTCACGTTGTTGCACGTCTGAAGAATGCTTTTCTCTAAGTTAATTTCAAAATGTAATTTAAACTCAATAAAAATACCAGTACTGTTTCTCCATTGGAAATAGACAAGTTGATACTAAAGCTCAAAGTAAAAAGTAAACTTGCAAGAATGGCTAAGAATATTCTGAGAAAGGAAAGCTATAATGTATGCTAAAATGACCAGATATTAAACATTCTAAAAAGGGTCTATAATTGTAATTACTGCGTGGTATCGGCTCATGAATTGTTAGGTGGGAGAGACTAGATGGTCCAGAAATATTAAGTGCAGAGGGAAGTCTACTGTATATAAATGTGGCAAATCAATGGAATAAAAATGGATTTTTTAAATAAAAAAGCTTGTGGAATAACTGGATAGTCAGTTGGGAAAAAATAAAATTATATTAATAGCTCACATAATGCAAAAGAATAAACTCCAAATTGACTTGAGTTCTAATTTAAACCATACAAATAGCAGACATGTACAGAGGTGAATTCCATTATGACCTGAATGTGTGGAAAGACTTTCTGACTTAAAAATCCAGATGTAATAAAAGACCGCTGCACATGAGAACATAAAACTAAAGCACTTATGTAAGGCAAAATACACCATAAGCAAAGGCCAAACACAAATGACAAAATTTTTACAACTTTATGAATCTCAGATAAGGAGCTAACATTCCTAATAAGTAAAAACCAAAAGCCAAAAAATGCAGCCTCTGCATTCAATTTAGTAGATTGTTTTTCATAATAGCTTTGGTATCGTGATTTGGAAACTATTTTATGTGCATTATTGTTGTTGCTCAGTTGCCAAGTCATGTCTGACTTTGTGACCCCATGGACTGCAGCATGCCCGGCTTCCCTGTCCTTCACTGTCTCCCGGAGCTTGCTCAGACTCATGTCCGTTGAGTCGGTGATGCCATCCAACCATCTCATCCTCTGTCGTCCCTTCTCCTCCTGCTCTCCATAGTTCCCAGCACTGGCATTTTTAGAACTGAGCAACTGAATAAAGGCATTGATTTGTTGGTGGCCAGTGTTTTACTGTGGGAAAAGAGAGATATAAATAAAGGATAATAGAAGATAAAGAACCACCCCATCATGGTGTGAACTCATGATTAAAAATGTTTGTGCAGCTCACTAAGATGAATGTTAACACCCATAGTGATGGCATGCTAAGATCAGGTACTCGTGATAAGATGTGGTGGAAATGGCACTTGACCTTTATGATCTTCCCCCCCAAAACACAGAGCCTCATTTTAATGACAGCACGGCAGACAAATGGCAGTCATTGGACATTCGACAAAATATCTGCCTTGAACTCCACAAAAGTGGAGTGACGGTCATTGTAAACTAGGAAAGGCTGAGAAACCATCACAACTGAAAGGAGCCTATTGAAACACAGCTACTAAAAATAACGTATCCTGAGTGAGATCCTGGAAAAACCAAAGGACATTAGATAAAAAGTGGGAAAGATAAAGTGTGGACTTTAACAATAATGCATCAGTGTTGGTTCATAATTGTTAAAAAAGTTAACCAAAACTGGGTGCAGAGTATGTGGGAACCTTCTGTACTATCTTTGCAGTTTTTTCTGTAAATTAAAAACTTCTAAAGTAAAAGTTCATTTGAATTAGTCTTTTTTTTTTTTTAAGTGTGTGTTTGTATAATTTTCTTCTTCTCTATTTGGTGAAGGAGTGTGGAAGCAATGATGCCTCAGTAGCAACAAGCAGACCTTGGTCTCTAAATACCATTCTCTAATGAAAAGGAACCAGAGCTTACTGGGGTGATGTCTGATTCCAGGATGATGGCAGGGAAAATACAAAATGAGAATGTAGTATATACTTAGGCCCAAAAGTAGGGGGTGTGCAAAAATATCCCAGAGGAGCCCCTGCCCACAGTGCAGTGGTGTAAGAGCACAAAACCTGCCATCCCACTTTATATGCAAATAGAAAACTAGATAATATGTAGGAAACATGTCTTTTCAGATATTGGACACCTGGTAGTGTGAGACTTTGGTCCCTGAGAGAGGGGAGAATAAATGACTCCCTCCTGCAGCAGTGGCTCTCTCTCTGGAGGCATATTGCAGACAATACAGGAAGGAGGGACGCAAGCAGAGCTCACCGATTTCCTCAAGTGAGACAAACAGCAGAGCTGGGGAAACTCAAGTAACTGGAATTAGCTGAGTGGAGTGTGGAAGAGGGAGGAAGGGGTGGGAGGGAGGTACTCGGAGAAAGCGCTCCAGAAATATGCACAGGAGTCTCCCTGCGTTCTTAAGCTGTGCATGGATCTATTTAAAAGGAAATTCTAGAATTGCAAAACTGTAGGGACAGAAAGATCAGTGGTTGCTCTGGCCCACAGGTTCAGGGAAAGTTGGAAAAGGAATGGAAGGGGAGTTTGGGGGATGATGGAAATCTTGCACATCTTGATTGAGGTGGTGATCACATGGATGTAGATATTTGTCAAAGCTCTTTGAAGCGTATTCTCCAGGATTCAGTTTGAGGAGGGCTTTTGTGGGCATAACTGGGACAATCTGAGTGTCAGTATAATTAAGAGTAACAGTATAAATCAACATATTTCATATATTCATACTAAAATAAATGATGACTGGATGAGAAGAGAAAGAACTTACAGAATTCCGACAAGTAAATATAGAAGGAATGATAAAGGTATCTTTCGGCCATCGAGGACGTAATTGGTTGCAGCGGAAATACTGATTCTAAAGCTGTTGCTGAAGATTGATGATGAACAGGATATCTTTGTAGTCTCAAATGTATCTCCTCGCAGATAACTGGCTACAAAAGCAAAAATGGCCACTTTTGAGTGATCACTTAGAGAAGGAAATGGCAACCCACTCCAGTATTCTTGCCTGGAAATATGCATGGACAGAGGAGTCTGGCGGGCTGAATGAAGTCCATGGGATTACATGACTGAGCATGTGTGCACGAGGGTGGAGGGAGATGGGTTGGTAGCAATAAACTGGTAGAACTAAAAAAAAAAAAAAAAAAGAGTGATCACCACTAATCAGATGCTTCGAATTTGCAACTGTCTTCTGGACTATAGGTTCTCAAGGTGGGAAATTCAGTCTTGCTGTGCTCAGTCATTTGTTGGTTTAATAAGTAGCCAGATCTTGTCTCTAAGATTTTGATGTTTTGTTCATAATGAACTTTTTACATTGATCTTTATTTTTAGAAACATTTCATCGATGTATCATGTGTTTTGGTTTCTGGTTTGGTTTTGTTCTTTGGTGCCCCCTTAGATGTTGTGTATGAAGGAGTGCTTCACTCCCTGAGCTCTACCTTTAAATGAGGAGGGGGCGGAGCAAAGGATGAATGAGAGCCGATGCACTGCTGGAGCTGATGAAATTCTACCCTGCGCTCAGGGTCCACTCCCTTGGTTTCAGTGGTTAAGGTGTCCCCATGGATTGTAGCCCACCAGTCTCTCCATGGGATTCTCCAGGCAAGAATACTGGAGTGGATCAGCATTTCCTTCTCCGGGGAATATTCCTGATCCGGGGATCGAACCTGAGTCTCCCACATTGCAGACAGGTTCTTTAGCGTCTGAGCCGCCAGGGAAGCTCTTCTTCTTTGGAGGTATTTCAGCATATTCCCAGGATTGTATAACTGTCAGCACAATCTAAACTTGAAACATTTTCATCACCACAGGAAGAAAGCCTGATGTTAGTGCTCATTCTTCATTTCCGCCCCTCAGCCCAAACAACCACTGATTTACTTTCTCTGAAGTTTTTCCCTATTCTGGATATTTCATGTCAAATGGGCTCATACAATACGTAGTCTTTTGTGACTGGCTTTTCACATAGTGTAATGTTTCCAAGGCCCATCCTTGGAGCTTGGTATCAGCACATCATTCCTTTTATTAGTTGATGACTGAATGATTGGGCATTTGGGTGGTTTCCACTCTGGCCATCGTGAATAATGCTGTTATGGACCATTTGTGTACTAGTTTTTGCATGGATGTGTGTTTTCATTTTTCTTAGGTATATATACATCCATGACTGCAATTGCTGGGTCATGTAGTAACTCTAGCTGTTTAAGAAATGTCTGGAATGTTTCTCCAAGGCAGCAACTTCATTTTAAATTCCCACTGGCAACGTATGAGGGTTCAGTGTCTCCACATCCTCACCAACACTTTGTTGTCTGACTTTTTGATTCTAGCCATTTTTGTGGGTGTGAAATGGCAAGTCATTATGGTTTTGATTTACATTTCCCTAAGGACTGATGATTTGAGCATCTTTTCAAGTGCTTTTGGACTTGCCGTTCATATTCTTTGGAGAGAGGTCTCCGTATCCTTTGCCTGTTTTAGAATTGTGTTCGGGTGCAAAAGCAGTTTATTGGAGGAAGAGGAGCATCTTCAGCAAATGACACCGGCACCATTGGACATGCACCGCAACAAAAGAACTTCAGCCTCACACCTGTTATAAAATTTAACTCAAAATAGAGTACAGACTTAAATTTGCTCCAGTATCTATGAAAAAAATAAATATATCTTCATTGTGACAATGAGAGCAAAGTGGGTCCTTTTGTCTCGGATTCTGTACTCTTAATACTCAAGATCATGTACTTAGATTACTCCATTAAATTTAATATGCTAGGCAGACATCTGTTTGCTGATTATTGATTTGAAAATGATAAATTTGTCTTTTATGCAGGTCACAGTAAATTTTGATGCAAGCTTTGTAGAGGGTTCTGCCAACAGAAGCTTAAAAGGTAATGGTTGAAAACAAAAAATGTTATCACCTATCTTCTTCAGGGTAAAGATGCTCATACATCTTTATGGGCATTCAGGGTTCTTCATACATCTGTGAAATGTGGAAAAGGCTGCAAAAACCTGCACATTTACTGATACGTCTTAACTTGCATGTTTGCACTGTTTCAGAAAGTCAGAGGTTAGGTACAGTTGGAATTTCAACATTAAAACACAAAACCAACTAGTTTTTGTGGATTGTGTTCCTTTTACTTTTTTACATATAGGAACAGTTTTCCAATAGTGCAATCTTAATGTAGTTGTAACAGATCAATTCCGCCTTTAACAAAAACGAAACCCCAGAAATACAGGTTGCTTCAGTATCACACAAGTAGTTTTATAAGTTGTATAATATCAAACGTATTTATTTCTCTACTTTTAACCATGTTGTTTATATTCAACATGTTATTACTATATGCAGTGTTTCAATATCTTTGTAAATATAACATTTGCATTTTTTACATTTCCTCCATATAAACATTTCCAGCTTTTTGTCATTGGTTCCTTTGATGGGAAGTTAATCTGAAGCTCCACATCCTATAATGCAATTTCAGAAAAGGTGAGGCATGAATGTGAGGACTAGAGGTAGGAGTTTATTAAACATTTTCAGACACATACTGAATAGGAACAAGAGGGTGTAAAATGAAGTGCCGAAAGAATAGCCTTGTGCTCTGCTTTTCTTTATAACGTGTATCAATTCCCAGTATTTATCAGTATCTTTTTTTTTTTTCCCTATTAAATTTCTCCCACACTGGAACCTCAGCTCCGCGGATGGGGATTTTGGCACGTTCCTAGTTGCGTCCCCAGCGCCTACAACAGTGCTTGGCGAACTGTGCTTTCCTTGGTCGCTCAGTCCTGTCAGACTCTAGCCCGCTAGGCTCCTCTGTCCATGGGATTCTCCAGGGAACAACACTGGAGTGGGTTGCCACGCCCTCCTCCAGGGGACCTTCCGGACCCAGGGATGGAACCCAGGTCTCCCGCGCTGGCAGGCGGATTCTCTACCACTGAGCCATGTGGGAAGCCCTGCTTGGCACACGGTAGGTCCTCAGTAAGTGGCAACTGAAAGGATCGGGAGGATAGAGGGGATGCAGGAGAAGCCCCGAGCCCTGGCGCTCTCCGTGGCCCGCACACCCAGCCCCACCGTCTGCGTTCCCCCAGCGCCGGCCGGGAGCGGCGCCCGCGCGGCCGCGGCCACGGCGCGTGCGCCCCACAGCCCCGCCGCCACGCGCGGCCAGCGGTTCTGGACACCTCGACGACGCGAGCGAGGTGCGCCTGCGCAGTTCACGCCGCCCATTCAGGTCTAGGCGGACTCGGCAGCCAGGCGATGGGTCCGCCGGCCTGAGGGCTGGGCCGGGCCGGCTCTGGGTCGGAAGGCCGGGGATACGGGAGCACGCTAGAGACGACGCGAGGGGACGAGGCCGGAAGCCGCCGGCGGCCGCGGCCGGCAGTCCCGGCATGCTCCGCGCCGCCCCGGGCCCGGCGCCGGACTCCAGCTCCCGGCGGCCCCCGCGGCCGGCGCCGGCTGCCCGCCCGGGCGCTGCGGCCCCTTTGTGAGGCCGCCGCTCGCGGCGAGATCGAGTCCCCGCCCCGGCCGCGGGCCGCTCGGCCGCCGAGCGAGGAGAGGTGAGGCGTCCCGTGCGGCGCGTGGGCGGGCAGGCCTGCCGGCGGGCGGGCGGGTGAAAGCGTCCGGGACGGTGGAAGCCGGGGTCAGGGTGTGCGTGACTGTGTGAGCCGAGTCTGGCCGTGACAACGCGTGACAGCGCCACTGTGTGCGTGACCTTGCGCGTGGGAGCGCGCGCGGCCGTGTGTGAGGAGAGTTTGAGGACGCGGGTGACAGCGTCGTGACCGTGCACCCACGGCTGTGCCCGTGCGTCCCCGCAGGCTGCGCCCGGGGAGCCGCCAGCCCGAGGGGCGGTGGGGCGGGTTGTGTGTGTGAGTGTGTGTGCGCGCCGCGGAGGTGGAGGCCGTGCGCCCCAGGCCCGGGGGCTCTGTGTGGTGGGGAAGACGCGAGATGGAGGAGAGACGGAGTTCACAGAGGGAAGGGACGGAGGGAAGAGAGCTGGGGAGGAGACGGCCTCGGCCCGGCGGGCAGAGCCCTGAGCGCCGGCCTTGACCGCCTCCGGCACCGAAGGTCCTTCCACCGCCGCTGTACCGGCCAAGGCAGGGAGTTCCGTGGACAGTAACTCGAAACTTAGGGAGTTGCGGTGACAGTTTCTGCATGTCCCTGCACCTGCACACCCTCCCCATCCACGTCGAGGAAATTTGTTAGAAAAGTTGAGCGAATGGTTTTCCGGTGTGTTTTATAATAAGCCAGGGCTAGAAGCAGGAAGTCCTCTTTGGTCCAGGGTCCTCCAGACCACACGACCCCCGTGCGGGCTACCCTGTGTAAAGATGCTTTCTCTGAGGCATTCACTTTGTAGCTTTTAAATCTCATCTCTGTAGAAACGGTGGGGACACATTTCCTTTCAATGTCATCCTCTAGTGAAGAGACTAAGGAGGCAGATCTGGATCCCAGTTGGGCTCAACTGCTTCAATTACCATGAAGCGTTGGATAATTTCACTGATGTGAATTTCACGTGTGAAGGGGGACACACCCCTTGCCTAGCAGTGCCACTCTGAAGGGTACTGTTATTCTTATAAACGAGGAGCTCTTTTATGCACAGAGAGTTTATGTCGCATATTGAGATATAAAGCACGTGGGAGATTTAAATGGAGTATGAGCGTGCTAAATCGCTTCAGTCGTGTCCGACTCTTTGCGACCCCATGGACTGTAGCCCACCAGGCTCCTCTGTCCGTGGGATTCTCCAGGCAAGAATGTGTTGCCATTTCCTTCTCCAGGGATCTTCCTGACCCAGGGATCAAAGTGTCTCCTGCATTGTTATGCGGGTCCTTTACCACTCGAACCACCGGGGAAGCCCTTAAGTGAAGTACGACCTCTAAAGATACTGAATCACTATGTTGAACACTTGAAACTAATATAACACTATAAATCAACTGTACTTAAAGCAGGTAGGTGAAAGAATTTAGATAGCAAACACCAATTGAGTGTCAGCTCTTAAGTTCTGTGGTGGGGAGAAGGGCAGCGAGAAGGAAAGGAGACTTTCTTGGCTGACGGTGCTGAGAGCTGAGGGCAGTCCTGGCATTTTATGTTTTCTTCCTCCCTCTCCAGCTGTGTTTTCTCTGAACGCTGCTCAGAGAGGAGCCGGAAGGAGGAGGGCAGAAGAGCTGTTGTAATTTCTTAAAGCCATGTCCGAGGTAAGGAAATATTTCTTCTCTTCTCTGAAATGCCTTGTTTTTTCAGATTTTACATGGACATTTTGCTTTTCTTCTGAAATTCCCCACTCTGCTGAAGTTCCGTTCATTCAATGATCTGGTCCTCATGTTCTCCAATCTAGTGAAAGGAGATTTCCCCACCACCACCACCCTCAAAGCGCAGTGAGCTTCCTTTTTTTTTTCCTTCAGCCAGAATTTTCATCTTCTATTCAAGAAACAGTTTAGCACTTTCTGTGGGTGAGGTGTTCAGTTGGGAGGTCTTAAGAGGCCAAAATACATTCCTTGGTGGAAGATGAAAATCTTCGCCGGAGGGACTTGATTCACTGAGGTCAAAGTGGCTGTTCAGATGTGAGCAGCAGTCTCGAGCTTTTCCACAGACCTGAGCTTGAGAGCCAACAGGGATTGCAGGGGAAGGCTTAGCTGTGGCACGGGGCAGGGTCTCTTGCTCAGGGTGGTTTTGAGGAGTGGGATTTGCTGGTCTTGAGTATTAAAGGGTGGGTCAGCTAGGGCAGGAGTTTTCTTCAGGCACTGGGTGAGCATTAATGAGTAGGACTCCATGGGAGTAATGAGATACCCTGAGTTAGCATCAGGCCACAGACCGAATATTCTGCATCATTCACTGAAGATTAGTAGAGTTAATATGGAAAACTGCAGGACATTTTTTGAAAAAGGAGACTGATAAGAGGGAATATTGAATATACATTAAAAAGTGGCTGCTTACTTCTGTAATAACAAAACCAGTAAATAATATAGAATGGGAGCCAGAGAAAGAAAAAGATCAGCATATAACATCCAGAGACAAATACAAGTAAGAACGGAAAATACTTATTCACTCACTGAACATATAGTTTATTAAAGACTTCAATTCAGTCGCTCAGTCGTGTCCGACTCATTGCGACCCCATGAACTGCAGCACGCCAGGCCCCCCTGGCCATCACCAACTCCCGGAGTTTACTCAAACTCAATGCCCATCAAGTTGGTGATGCCATCCAGCCATCTCATCCTCTCTCGTCCCCTTCTCCTCCTGCCCCCAGTCCCTCCCAGCGTCAGGGTCTTTTCCAGTTAGTCAACTCTTCACATGAGGTGGCCAAAGTACTGGAGTATCAGCTTCAGCATCAGTCCTTCCAATGAACACCCAGGACCAATCTCCTTTAGGATGGACTGGTTGGATCTTGCAGTCCAAGGGACACTCAAGAGTCTTCTCCAACACCACAGTTCAAAAGCATCAATTTTTCGGTGCTCAGCTTTCTTCACAGTCCAACTCTCACATCCCTACATGACCACTGGAAAAACCATAGCCTTGACCAGACGGACCTTTGTCGGCAAAGTAATGCCTCTGCTTTTTAATATGCTGTCTAGGTTGGTCATAACTTTCCTTCCAAGGAGTAAGCGTCTTTTAACTTCATGGCTGCAGTCACCATCTGCAGTGATTTTGGAGCCCAGAAAAATAGTCAGCCACTGTTTCCACTGTCTCCCCATCTATTTCCCATGAGGTGATGGGACCAGATGCCATGATCTTAGTTTTCTGAATGTTAAGCTTTAAGCCAGCTTTTTCACTCTCCTCTTTCACTTTCATCAAGAGGCTTTTTAGTTTCTCTTCACTCTCTGCCATAAGGGTGGTGTCATCTGCATACCTGAGGTTATTGATATTTCTCCCGGCAATCTTGATTCCAGCTTGTGCTTCTTCCAGCCCAGCGTTTCTCATGATGTACTCTGCATATAAGTTAAATAAGCAGGGTGACAGTATACAGCCTTGACGTACTCCTTTTCCTATTTGGAACCAGTCTGTTGTTCCATGTCCAGTTCTTACTGTTGCTTCCTGACCTGCATATAGGTTTCTCAAGAGGCAGGTCAGGTGGTCTGGTATTCCCATCTCTTTCAGAATTTTCAACAGTTTATTGTGATCCACACAGTCGAAGGCTTTGGCGTAGTCAATAAAGCAGAAATAGATGTTTTTCTGGAACTCTCTTGCTTTTTCGATGATCCAGCAGATATTGGCAATTTGATCTCTGGTTCCTCAGCCTTTTCTAAAACCAGCTTGAACATCTTACTGTATATTAAATGCTGGCAATACTACAGTTAAAAAAATAGATACTGTCTTCATGGAATTTACTGTCTACTAGTTTATTATATGATAGTGTAATGATATTTTAAATCAGAGGAGAAGGGCTGGATGTTCGTTTGAAATTTTTTTCTTCCTCATACTTTGAGGCTAAAAACATTGTGTAGGTTAAATATAAGAAGTAAAACCACAAACTGCTACCTCTTTTTCTTGTTTTCTATCACGCAGAGCAGCCCTGTGACTGGTGGCGGAGACGCTGTTTGCACTGCCCAGTACCGAGCGGCTAGCTACGCGTGGCTGTGGAGCCATGTGTATGGACTAGCGTGACTGAAGGGCTGAATTTTTAAATGTTGATTGATTTAAATAACCACATGTGGCCAGTAGCTAAGTCTATTTAGACACCAGAATTCTAGGTTCATAAAATGGTACAGCCAGGAAGAAAATTATGAGTGACCTGGTTGTCTGAGACACTGTTTTCCAAATGAGGAAAAAGAGGCCAAGGAAGGAGTGATGTGCAGATGCCACTTTTAGTGGCTGTCAGAGGCAGCAGGCTGTACTGCTGAGGGTGAGTAAGGGTGGCAGGACAGTGACAGGCTCCTGGGAGCAGAGTGCTCAGGGTCACAGAGTGCATCACTTCTCCATGGAATGAAGTCCCGCATCCTTCCCTCACCGCTCAGGTCCCACACGACCCAGCTCCCGGCGCTCAGACCTCCTTTCCTCCCATCTTCACTGCTCTCTGCTCCAGTCACACTGGTTGGCTCTCTGTCCCTCAAAAGTTCCAAGCTCCTCTCTTATTTCTGAACGTTTGCATTTGCTCCTTCCTCGTCTGTAACTCTCCTCCCCTAGTGGATGGCCTGTCTAGCTCTCCCACTTTATGTAGGTTGTTGTTCAAACCTCAGCTCATTTTAATTTTTTTCCATTTATTTTTATTAGTTGGAGGCTAATTATTTTACAGTATTATAGTGGTTTTTGCCATACACTGATTTTACACTGGATTTACATGTGTTCCCCATCCTGATCCCCCATCCCGCCTCCCCAAACCTCAGCTCATTTTTAAGGTTTTATCTTTATCTTACACAAAAGTGAAAGTTAGTCACTCAGTCGTGTCTGGCTCTTTGTGACCCCATGGACTGCAGCCCGGGAGAAGGAAATGGCAACCCGCTCTAGTGTTCTTGCCTGGAGAATCCCGTGGACAGAGGAGTCTGGTGGGCTGCTGTCCATGGGGTCGCACAGAGTTGGACACGACTGAAGCGACTTAGCAGCAGCAGCAGGACTGTAACCCACCAGGCTCCTCTGTCCATGGGGTTCACCAGGCAAGAACACTGGGGTTGCCATTTCCTTCTCCAGGGGTCTTTCTGACACAGGGATTGAACCGAGTCTCCTGCACTCCAGGCAGATTCTTTTTTTTTTTTTTTTTCAATTAGCAATAATCGCGCCTCGGATAAACCTCATTGGCTATGATACTGCCACTGTGCAAAGCTCAGGCAGATTCTTTACCATCGGAGCCACCAGGGAAGCCCATTTTTACTTACATGAACGCCCCTGTAACTCTAAGTTATCTTACCTTGTTTCTGTCATAGTATTTAACACTACCTGACGTTGTGTGACCTTATATTGAATGTCTTTCGCCTCTGTCAGAATTTTAATTCCACAAGGGGAGGGACTATATTCTGTCCATCTTTGTATTCCCAGTATAGGCAGCAGGGAATTACAACAATGTAGGTAGCAAGCATCCACTAGATATTTGCCAAATCAATATACAGATCAACAAAAGAGTGAATATTTGAGAGCAGGGCAGCAGGAGCCAGCAAGCAGCCTCTCTTCAGCTGTCCGGGAGCTGGCGATGGAGGGCGGCACAGGGCATGCTATGTGGGACACACAGCCCGTCGACCCAAAGGCCCGAGTGCGCCACAGTCTCTTGTGAGGGGGCCCAGGAAACTGCAGTTTTACTGAGTCCGCTGATGATTTCAATGCAGGTTTTGAGAACCTCTGCCCCTAAAGATCATATATTTAAAGTATGCCTCTTGGTATTGTGCTCAGTCACTATGTCGTATCCAACTCTGACCCCATGGACTGTATGTAGCCCACCAGGCTCCTCTGTCCATGAGATTTCCCAGGCAGGGATACTGGAGTGGGTTGCCTTTTCCTTCTCCGGGGGAACTTCCCAGACCAAGGATCAAACCCAGGTCTCCTGTATTGGCCACCTGCAAAGCCTCTTATAAAACAGTATATGTTTTACATTTTCTCTGTTCTCACAGCAGGCTATTATTCTTTTAGTGGCCACTTTGGGATAATATGTATCCGTTACTTCTTACTGTAACAATCATCTTTCTTCCCTCTGTAATCTTCTGTCTATAGTTAGTCCTTTTGTTACTTTCTCAACAAGGTAACTCCCCTATATTATTATTTGTAGATGTTATATTTAGTTATTGTTTCGGGGCTCTGAATTTCTTCCTGTGCTTCAATGCTTCCATTTTCCTTTTATTTTTCATTTCGTTCCATTTTCCTTCTACCTGAAAACCTTTTATTAGTATTGCTTTGACTGCAGGTCAAAACTTCAGTCCCAACCTGATTTTTTTTTTTTTCATTATGTCGTTTTCTGACTAGGCCAGAATAGTGTAAATTAAACTTTTTTCTGATGTTAAGTAAGTTGGGAAATCCTAATCTTAACGGAGAGAAGAACTTTTAGGAGTATATTTTAAGACAATAACTAGAGACCTTTGTAACATCATAGTGAAAAATTAAGACTGACATAATTGAAAATAAGCAAGGGGTTAGTAAATCAGATATGGCTGATTTACATTATGTATTGATAATAATATGCATCTAACAAGAGTGATGTTATCAGTAAATGAATATGTAATCATAGACATGTCTGTGTAAGGAAATGTGAACAAATACATACTAACTGTGCATTTTGACTGCTTATAGGAGGTAGGTAGATGTTGGGGGTTAGGACTTTCGAGTTTTTAACTTAGAAAGGGAAAAAAAAATCACTGTGAGTAAAAATACCAGGGACTATTTTCTTTCTTTTAAAAACTTTTCTTTCTTCTATTCTAAATAACCTTGCGATAGGAGTAGCCTAGGCTGCAGGTTTTCCCCTCTCAAGCCTTTGACTGTATCCTGCCAGTCCCTTCTGTCCTGCAGTGCTTCTGCAGAGGCTCACCTGACAGCCGCCTGGGGGGCCTTGTAATTAACGCTCTGTTCTTCTCTTGCTGCTGTGAGAATCCTGTCTTTCACTTTTCTGTTTGTGGGAGAAAGTAGGCTTCATGTCTTGCTGCTCTGCCATCGTGATGGCTCTCTCCAGACATTTCCTAAGCTTCTTTAATAAGGTGACAAAATGGTATAAGATTCCTGTCTTATAGAATCAAAATAAATATAAAAACATTTGAAAGGTATTCAGATCTCATTGGCTAAGAGGAAAATGTCAATCAGACCATCAAAACCCAGAATCCCTTTGTTTGTGCGTGCAAGTAAAAAAACATCTTGTAAGAACTTTACCTGGCAACACCTGCATGGCCTCTACTACAGAAAACATGATGCATGTGGAACACTTTTTTTGCACAGTTTTAAAGAGCGTATTGAAGTGGTTGAGTTTTAATAGAATTTATGATTGATGGTGCCCAGCCCTCTCTCGCACAAGTTTCATCTTTTAAACCCAACTGGTGTTCCCTTCCTTGAAGCTTTCACTCACTTCCCAGATTTCCCTTTATTAAGTTGTTTTTGAGATGGAAGCACGTAAGATAGAAGCTGATGAATGTAACTGGTGTTTCATGGTGTCCTTTCACTTCACTTGTGGTTTCCTTAACGTTTTTGTCCATTACTCAGTTATTCATATACTGACTCATTTTTTTTTCTCATTAAAAATGTTTCTGTGTAGCATCACTGATAGGCTTAAATGCATCTTCAGTAAGGGTATTACTCTGTCAGGAGGCACGTTAATAGGAGTGATGTTCATATTTGACAACCCCTCCGGCCAAGACACATCCAAAACTTGCCCCGATGGGATCCTGGACGCTGATGCGGGGCGGGCGGTCCCCTCCTTACTGGACTGTGGTGAGGATGGCCGCCAGCGGGGCTCCCTGCCGCCGCTGCTCACCATACAGTGTGGAAGCATTTCAGTACCTGACAGGTCGGCTCGGCTGTTTGGGTGGGTGCCGTTGAGGGCAGCTGTGTGTCAGCTCAGCTTAAGGGTAGGTTTTGCTTTGTGATGTGCCAAACCTGTAAAGCACATACCAGATCATAGAGCCAAAAAAAAATCTGGAGTAGACTTACCACATGAGGAAGAATGCCCATTTTTTTAATTTTCGGGAAGCAGACTAGGTCTCATGTCATGTTACAGAGATCCTTAATTTAACATACCATGGTGTTTGAGAGCTATGTGGTAACATTTCAGAAACTCTTGTTCACTAGGTGTTCACAACTGGGTATGTTTCTCTCGTGAGAGCTGTAGGTGTTTTGTGATTTCACTGCATGATCACATTTGAGATGTTCCCTATCTAACTTAATAGTGGTTAAAATTACTATTACTTTGTCTTTTAGGGGGTATGATAAGTTAACAACTGTCTTTGACACTTAGTGGCGCTATCAAGGGCTGTCATGTAATCTTTTGTTGTTCCTGATTGTTCTCTGTAATGGCATACACTTAAGTTATATTTTTGCAAAATCACCATAAAACTTCTTTACTGCTTTTATTACATTTGTATGTAATTTTAGAGTACCAATACAGTGAGCATCAAATATATGTTTATATATACCTAATTGATATAGCTGGAACACTGATCATTCAATTGCATAATCTGGAAAAATGCATATAAAAATTGAGCATGTTTTTGCCTCCTCCTTGAGGCCTTTTTTTTTTACTGCTCCCATCTGTCCTGATTTTCCACACTGAGAAATGCTCTAGCATGTAGTGTGAGTACTGAATTATTTCACATTTGATTGTTTACAGTGTTCTTGGCAATTTTCACTTGTATCTTTTCTTCATCAGTAGAGACTCTCTGAAATTGTGTACTCTCCATGACAGAATATCAAGACTAAGCACAGCGAAGTCGTGTTGCTCAGGCCCCGAGATCCTGACAGGAAATTGCACTACATGCAGCGTTTGTAAGAACGCAGGCAGTCTAAACCGTGCTCGTGTGCGGGTAGGAAGGCTGGCTGAGCCGGAGCGTGTCTGTGTCACTCCAGGATCTGGTGACGTTTGGGGACGTGGCCGTGGACTTCTCGCAGGAGGAGTGGGAGTGGCTGAGCCCGGCGCAGAGGAGTCTGTACCGGACGGTGATGCTGGACAACTACCGGAGCCTGGTGTCGCTGGGTGAGGAGGCCCCTGCAGGAGGCACCGCGGAGGCTGCTCCCCAGTGCCGGGGCGGGTCTCCCCAGAGGAGTGCAGTTCTGCAGGCGCAGCTGGCTGGGATGTCGGTGCAGCTCCCTTCCCGCCCCCGGAACACTTCACCTCTCCTCAGCTCCCTCCCCTTCCCAGTGCCCAAGCAGCTCCTTCTGACTGCTGGGCCTGGCTAACTCCCCTTTTTATTTCTTGTGAGCAGGAGTTTCGGTTTCCAAGCCAGATGTGATCTCATTACTGGAGCAAGGAAAGGAGCCCTGGCTGATGAAGGAGGAGGGGCCGAGGGGAGCACGCCCTGGTGAGTGAGCGAGACCCAGGGCTGGAGGGGCCCCTGCCAGGAAAAGCTCAGCTAGCCTGAAAAGTTGAGCTCCTAACTGATGCTTCCTGGGTAGCGTCAAAGGGCTCCAGGCCTAGGAAGAGACAGAGGTGTCTCTGGCCTGAGCTCCCCAACTAAACTCCCCTCGGATTCACTCTCACACAGTACTGTCCTCTCAGATAACCTTCTCCTGTTCTCTGGATCCAAATGTCACAGCGTCTTCTTGTCTTTGCTTTTCAGTTTGACACAAGTTGCTCCAATCCTGGGTTTAAAGATCTAGATGCAGCAATGCATTTTTTTTTTCCTTTTCACTCATTCACTCCTTTTAGACTGAAGGACTGATTCATTTATTCACTTAATCTCTTACCAAGATTCAGGTTTCTACTTTGAGAAAATCATCCTATTAAATTTTTAGGATTATTCTGACGTTTATAAACCACCAAAGGAAAAATACTTCTGGTGGTATTTTCTTCAAATCTGGGTAACTGGAAGGTGATAGCATTTAACAGAAACAAGTCAAAAGGAAGAATGGGTTTGTAGAAGAAAAGATGAATTTGACTTAGGACGGTAAGACTTATCTGATGGGAAGATTTCCTAGTAAAGAAATGCAGCATACCACTGGAGGGAAGTGGAGGCTAGGAAAAAAGTCTGATTACATGTTAGTGTGAAGGAATGAGGTCAGTAGTCTTAGAGTTTGGAAGAAAAACTCTGGTCAGGGCCTCTGTGGGGAAGTAGACCTTTGATAGCTTTCTCAGTGTCCTCTGGTAAGTGGCCTCCTGATAACTTCCTCCTTGAGTTAAATTATATAAATTTTAATTTTTCTAGATAGTTATCAGGTTTATTTCCATGAACCTGAGCATAGTAATTGCTTACAGTTCTTTTTGTTTTGTACTGTAGTATAAAATATTCCATTTTATTCTATATAGCTAATTGTTTTAGTTAGGTTGCTACTCATTTATCAGTTTTGCTTATTTATTTTTAAATTCCAGCTTTTGGCTATATCTGTTAAATATAAAATATAGCTTCATCATTCTCCCCTTTTCTAATTCTCTATTTTCTGTTTTTCTCTTTACTAATTATTTATTTCCTTAGATTTACTTTGTTTCCATTTTTTGAAAACATGCTAAAAAACTGAAAAAAGCTTAAACTATTATTTCATTGTCTCTTAATTCACTAATGAAATTATTAGAGGTTTTATAGTTTCAGGTGTATTTGATATTTAGTGGTTTTATTTCCATTTCCTAGACAAGTTTTAATTCCCTACACAACAGCTGTTTAACAAAGTTTTCTGGTTTTACTATATTTTGATCAAACTGCTTTATTATATTTGATCAGGATAGCAGTTACTACTAATTCTGTTTTCTAATGAGTTGAGGATTTTATATGACCTAATACATAGCTTTTTTTAAAAACTATTCTATAGGTTCCAGGTTAGAGTATTCTCAGTGTAAAGAGCTTGTTACATGAGTTTCACTTCCTGTCACTAAGGTCAGTCTTTGCTTAGCCTTTGTTTCCATCCGTAATTTTCCTTAACTTTACATACAGTAAATTGCATTAATGTAAATTGCAGTGTGATGAGTTCTGACAGCTGTATACATCCATGAAACCATCACTACAATGCAGACCATCACCCAGAGGATTGCTTGTGCCTTTTTGCAATCCATTCTTCTCCACTCTGGCTCCAAACTAACCTTTGTCGTTTCAGATTAGTTTGCATTTAAACTAAATGCAATCATACTATTTTGTTTGGTTTACTTCACCATCAAAATTTACTTTGAAAATCACACTGTTGCATATGTGAGTAATTTACTGCTTTTGTTGCTGAGTGTCAGTCTGCTGTGCAGACATTCCACATTTTCGTTTTTCCATTTACCTACTGATGCACCTTTGGGTCATTTCCAGCGTGGGCAGTATGAAGTGGGCACGTACAGGACTTTGTATGGACATACATTTTCATTTCTCTTAGGTAAATACCTAAAAGTGGAAAAACAGGGGTGGGGGTTGTGGGAGGAAGGCTCAAGAGCGGGGGGGATATGCGAACACATGTAGTTGTACTTTGCTGCGCAGAGAAGCTGACTCACATGGTAAAGCAATTACATGCCAATTAAAAAATGTTTTTTAACACCAGCTTAAAAAAAAAGTGGAAAAATGGAGTTACATGACAGGAATGTGTGTAACTTGAGTTTTCTAAGGAGATGGTATTTTCATTCCCATCAGCATTGTAGCCGAGTTCCAGGTGTGCTCCATATCCTCACCATAATACCTTTTGAGGGTTTTTCATTTAGAGTGGTTTTATTGAAGTAAAGCTGATACACAGTGCTCTGTTAACTTCTGCTGTAGAGTGGAACGGCCCAGGTACACGCGCACGTAGCGGAACGGCCCAGGTACACGGGCATGTATCAGAACGGCCCAGGTACACGCGCACGTAGCGGAACGGCCCAGGTACACGCGCACGTAGCGGAACGGCCCAGGTACACGCGCACGTAGCGGAACGGCCCAGGTACACGCGCACGTAGCGGAACCGCCCAGGTACACGCGCACGTAGCGGAACGGCCCAGGTACACGGGCACGTAGCGGAACGGCCCAGGTACACGGGCACGTAGCGGAACGGCCCAGGTACACGCGCACGTAGCGGAACGGCCCAGGTACACGCGCACGTAGCGGAACGGCCCAGGTACACGCGCACGTAGCGGAACGGCCCAGGTACAGGCGCACGTAGCGGAACGACTCAGGTACACGGGCACGTAGCGGAACGGCCCAGGTACACGCACATATTGCGGAACGGCTCAGGTACACGTATATACAGCTCCCCGGGCTCTGCGGTGGGGCCTGTTGTATGTCCACCCTATATGGCAGTTTGCAGCCGCTAGTCCCAGATTCCTGACCCTTCCCTCCCCCACTTGTCCCCCCCTCGGCAACCACAGTGTGTTCTCTGTATGAGCCTGTTGCTGTTTTTCAGATACATAGTTGCTCTAGTACCCTTTTTTAAAACTTTCCCTTCCCCATTATATTGTCTTTTTGGTATCTTTGTTGAAAATCAGTTGACCATATATGTATGGGTTAAGTTCTGAACTGTTTTTTTCCAATGATCTATATATGTCTGTCCTTTCACCAGTACCACACTGTCCTGATTACTGTAGCTTTATAGTAAATTTTGACATCAGTTGAATTTGTAAAATCACTTTGACTATTTTAATAGATAATTTGCATTTCCATATAAATTCTAGAAGTTGAATTGAACATGAAGTTGAGCATGTCTACCTAAAAATCCTTCTGGGGTTTTGTTTGGGATTGCGTTGAATCTATGTATCAATTTAGAGAGAACTGACATCCTATTATCATTGATTTATCATTGACATCCTATTATCATTGTTTTATCACCGACATCCAAGTATCATTGTTTTACAATTTGTGAAATTTAGCTATTTTTTACAGTCTTAGTTTCTATAAGCAGTGTTTTGTCATATCCAGTGTAGTGGCTTCTTATAAGTATTATATTTATATATCTACATAGAAAGAGATATAGTTTTATGGATATAAGATACAATTTTTTAGATATGTTTTTTCCAGTATTGTGTGCATGTGTGATCAGTTGTGTCCGACTCTTTGCGACCCTATGGACTGTACAGTCCATGAATTCTCCAGGCCATAATACTAGAGTGGGTAGGTGTTCACTTCTCCAGGGGATCTTCCCAACCCAGGTATCGAATCCAGGTCTCCTGTATTGCAGGCAGATTCTTTACCAACTGAGCTACCAGGGAAGCCATGAAAAGTAGTGTTATCTGCAAATACAACTTTATTTCTTATTGACATAGCTAGGATCTCTTGTAATGTTGAATAGCATTGGTTAAGAGCAAATATACTTGCATTGTTCTCAACCTTAAGGGGAAATGTATTCACTCTTTCACCATTAAGTTGTTACAGATATTTCTGAGATGCCCTTTATCAGCTTGAGGAAGTTCCTTTCTATTCCTGCTTTGCTGAGAATTTTTATAATAAACAGATGTTAAATTTAGTAAAATACTTTTATACTGATTGAAACAATGTGATTTCCATCTTTAATCTGTTAATGTGGTGAATTACACTGATTTTCATATATGCAACCAACCTTGCATTCGTGGGATGAACTCCACTTGGTCAGGATTATGCTTTCATATTTTCCTGGATTTTATTTGCTATAATTTTGTATCATTTTACATTTATGTTTCTGTGCTACATTGCTTTTGTGGTCATAATAGGAAGTCTAATTTTACTATAAATAAGGTGAGAAACCATTGGAAAGTCTTGAACAGAGTACTAGGTGATTTGATTTAGGAATGGAAAAGATAAGGTAAATAAAGGCCTATGGCAGATTAATAAAACCCAACAATTTGATACAAACTTACTTCAGTATGAAGGCATCTTAGCTTGAGTATCAGCTGAAAATTTACATTTAGTTGGAACATATCACAGAAAATGATACTCAGGAAGACTATTTTCAGACTGCTAAAGTTTAACCATAGTTTTATATAGCCTGTGGCAATTAATAGGGTTCCCTGGTGGCTCAAGACAGCAAAGAATCCGCCTGCAATGCAGGAGACGCAGGTTCAGTCCCTGGGTCAGGAAGATCACCTGGAAAATTAAGTGGCAACCCACTCCAGTATTCTTGCCTGGAGAATCTCATGGACAGAGGAGCCTGGCGGCCTGCAAGGCCATGGGGTAGCGAAGAGTCAGACACAACTGAGTGACTCACACTTTCATGGCAATTAATGACACCTGGTGTGTTTTGGGATGTGGGAATCTAATAGATTTTTTTAGCTACATTGACATGAAGGTTTTTTTCTTATTTTTTAAAGCTAATGAACTTAACCTTGAATGCAGGCTAACCTGAGGCAAGAAAGGAAGGTGTTTGCAGACTTAATATAGATATATATATATATATAATGATTGTGATATTCTGATGGTTATCTTAATAGTTATGCATGAGGTATTTTCTTAATAAATTTTCCACATTTTCATTCTTTATAATCTCATCGTTAGACTGCATTTAACAGCTATTACATCTTTGAACTTATGTATGAACAGTTTGTGTTTTAGAAGTTTTTTTCTAATGCATAAATACAAAAGACGTTTTTTTCTTGATATCTTTTAGATTGGGAGTATGCATTTAAAAACAAGGAATTTCCATCAAAGCAAGTTATTTATGAAGACTCATCCAAAATAATGATGATGGGAAGAAGCCATCTTAGTTATAACCTCAACTGCTCCAGTTGGAGAGGAGACTCTAAAAGTAAGGACTGGTTTAAGAACCAGTTGGGAACTCAGGAGGTACATGCTAGTCAGCTGATCGTCACTCACAGAGAAATCCTAACTGAGGATCACAGTAATGAATATTCTAAGTCCTGGCAAACTTTCCATCAGGATACAATCTTTGATATAAAGCAGAAACGTAATAAGCATGAGCCACAAAAGAGAAGTTACCGGAAAAAATCTGTCGAAATGAAACGTAAGAAAGTCTATGTAGAAAAGAAACTCTTGAAATGTAATGAATGTGAGAAGGTGTTCAACCAGAGCTCATCTCTCACTCTTCATCAGAGAATTCATACTGGAGAGAAGCCCTACGCGTGTGTCGAATGTGGGAAAACCTTCAGTCAGAGTGCAAACCTAGCTCAACATAAGAGAATCCACACTGGAGAGAAACCCTATGAATGTAAGGAATGCAGGAAAGCCTTCAGCCAGAATGCCCACCTTGCTCAACACCAGAGAGTTCATACTGGAGAGAAACCTTATCAGTGTAAAGAGTGTAAAAAAGCCTTCAGCCAGATTGCACACCTGACTCAACACCAGAGAGTTCATACTGGAGAGAGACCTTTTGAATGTATCGAGTGTGGAAAGGCCTTTAGTAATGGTTCATTTCTTGCTCAGCATCAGAGAATTCACACTGGAGAGAAACCTTATGTATGTCATGTGTGTGCGAAAGCCTTTAGCCATCGTGGATACCTAATTGTACATCAGAGAATACATACAGGAGAGAGACCCTATGAATGTAAGGAATGTAGGAAAACCTTCAGCCAGTATGCACACCTTGCTCAACACCAGAGGGTTCATACTGGAGAGAAACCTTATGAATGTAAAGTATGTAGGAAAGCCTTCAGCCAGATCGCGTACCTTGATCAACATCAGAGGGTTCACACTGGAGAGAAACCCTATGAATGTATAGAATGTGGGAAGGCCTTTAGCAACAGTTCGTCACTTGCACAACATCAGAGAAGTCATACCGGAGAGAAACCCTACATGTGTAAGGAATGTAGGAAAACGTTTAGCCAGAATGCAGGCCTTGCTCAGCATCAGCGAATTCATACTGGAGAGAAACCTTATGAATGTAACATTTGTGGGAAAGCCTTTAGCTACAGTGGGTCTCTAACTCTACATCAGAGAATTCATACTGGAGAAAGACCCTATGAGTGTAAGGACTGCAGAAAATCTTTCAGGCAGCGAGCACACCTCGCTCATCATGAGAGAATCCACACTATGGAGTCATTCTTGACTCTTTCCTCTCCCTCAGTCTCTGTGTCCAGTCCGCTGCCAAGACCTGTAGGCTTTATCTCCTAAATATGCCTTGAATCTGACTCCGTTAATCCATTTCCATTCTATCAATGTTTGTCCAATACATGATAATCTATTTGACACAGACTATGGGAATAGCTTTTAATCCATCCCCCTGTATTTACCATTTCCTGTTAGCAATCCATATTGCAGTCAAACTTGTATTTAAAAAGCCTGACCATATCACCTCTCCCTCATTAAAACCCTTCACTGGCATCCCATAGGTCTTAGGTCCAGGTGCACATTGCTCAAAATAGCCTAAAAGACCCCTGCCCCCCAATACCTTGTCCCCATTTACTTTTCAGAGTCCCATTTCATGTGACCATCTCATTCCTGGGCTACATATCAAAATTCAGAATTCATATTGCAGCAACAACTAGATCGGGGTTCCAGTTCTTCCTGTTCCATTTTCTAGCCCTCTAGTTCTGGAGGAACATTTTGTCCCTTGTAAGCATCTTGTCTTTTTATTTCTATTATAGAAATAATAATGGTACTACCTCAAAAGTTAATGGGAGGATTAAATGAGATAATGCATGTAAATTGCTCAGCACAGTGCCTAGCATAATCAATAAACATTAATGTAAAATAAAAAGATAACTATGTATACAAAGAAGACCTGATCATCTTAGCAGTGATTATCGGTGAAATAACAAAACAGCTCAAGACCCAGGAGACTGTAAAAATTTTTGAGTAGAAAGAGCTTCCTTGTTCTGAAGTTGAGTGAAAAGGGTATCCAACACAGTAGAGTTAATGTTGGAGTTCATGATGATAGAGTTAAGATGGTGGCTTCTGATTCAGCACAAACATGGAAATACGATTTTGTTGATAAGAAAAACTAACTTCATTATATATTCAACAGTTTTAAGAAACCAGGTGTTAAACATCAATTGTAATAAGTAAAATTTACTGAGATGTATTCATCATTTACATTTAAACAAAGGCAACATAGTCCTCAAAAGACAGAAAACTTTAAAAGATCAATAACCAAAGATGATTAGAAAACAAAATTTAACTCACCACTCCTAATTCCAGGTTGATGAATCGTGTTAAATCCATGTTATTTAAATATAAAAAGTGTTAGGTTCTAATCTGTAATTCCAAGACCAGAGGGAGAAGAAATCAAAACTATAGGTCAAAACTCATAAACATGTTTGTGTGAAATTTAAACTGAATACCTTTAGATGGGCATTTGTTTTCCACATTTCCACAGTTCAAACCACTACCTGTTGACTTACATCTGACCTGTTTTACACTTTATTACATCCTGACTCCTGAAGGCTTTGTGCAATCAGTGCTGGAACCAATTCTCATGTGACTATAAGTACAAAGAAAATGAGTAAAGTTTAATGGAGGATGAGAAGAACAGACATTTTATCCTTCTGTAGGGGAAGATTCAGTATTATACAGGTGTTAGTAACCCCCAAATTAATCTATTGATTCTTTGTACCTAACAAAATCCTAAGAATTTAAGGCTTAAAACATTGTGTTTGTCAACACACACACATAAACATTCACAATAGATATACACATAAAGGAAATATAAAGGTGATAGTTCACTGTCAGTAGCTTAACAGTATTTGAGATTCTGCTCAAAATTATTTCTGTACAAAACAATTGTCTCATTCTTTTATCCAAATGCAAAACAGAGTCATTAGAGGATACCATACATAATCATGGAAAACAATCTCCCTAAATACAACATGAGATCCAGAAACCACACACATGTATTCTAGGTTTGACTATATAAGAACTTTAATGAGCTTTTATATAGTCAAAGATAGTACAAAAGGTTTTTAAACATTAGAATTTTAAAAAATTAGTAAAATATGTTTAAGCTATGAGATTCATATCCTTAACAAAGTACTCCTACAAATCATTTAGAAAATGACACCTCCTTCCCTTATGGGTAAGGGGTATAAAGAGGTAACTGATGAAAATTATAAGTACTGACTCTCACAAGGATCAGAAAACAAGTTAAACAAGTGAACTACCATCTTTCAATACCAGATTGATAAAATGTGCACTCAAAAAGCATAGGAGAGGAGGTACTGTGTACTGATGTAAAGGTGACTTGTCAATATCAGAATTTTCCCTGAAATTTCATTGTCAATATCAGAATTTTCAAGGCTTGCTTTTGCAATTAAATACACAAGTTTATCCTTCCATATCCTACAACAGATTAAACAATTTAAAAGGTATCAAAAAGAATCAAATTTTGTTAAAGACAAAAGGGAAAAAAATGGTTATTCATGAAATGTAGCAGAAACAGCTGTGACCTGAAAGGTTTGCCTGACAGGGATTTTTCAGTAATGGGAAGTCAGTCTGTCCAAAGGTCCCAAGAGAAACTCATGCTCTAAGCTGGCTTGTGTAGAGGCTGGGGGGTAACAAGACAGTTCATGATTTTTCATGTGAAAGTTATGTTAGTATCCCTACCAAAGCTTTCCCATTACACTCTTCTGTAAGTAAAGTAAATTGGATCCTTTTTTCACACCATTCAGAAAGATTAGTTCTAGTTGAATAAAATCCTAAATGTTAAATAGTAGAGTATTGGAAGAAAACAATAGAATATGCTTACGACTTTGCTGTTGGACATATGTTCCTAAACTAGACAAAAACGAAAGCCACAAAGTAAAGATTAGTGAATTTGATTTTATCAAAAGTAGTTGTTCAGTCACTAAGTCTTGTCCAACTCTGCAATCCCATGGACTGCAGCCTGCTTCTAAAAAGACAAAAGAAACAGAATGGGAAAAAGCTATAATAACATACAAAAGGAAAGATGTAAATAAGAATACCTAAAAATAGGTAAAGGACAACCAATTGAGAATAAAGATGAACAAAGGATAATAATGGACAAATCAGAAGAAATGCAGAACACCGACACTGAGTCCCCACTTAACCTTGCTGCTGGTAAGAGATGCAAATTTAAATAATCTAATTTTAAAAACCTGGCAGTTGTATAGAGAAATAATTACTCTTATCAGTGCCGCTCTGGAGGCACTGAAGTTGTTAAAAACGTTAACTAACCCCTTCAGAGGGCAGTATGGTTAGTACATGAAACAGAACTATCTAAATTTTCATCAATAGAGAAATACCGACACCAGTTTAAAAGAATGGACTGGAAATATTGATTTGACAAAAGGGCACGGATTAAAAACTTGCAGAGTAATAGAGGTTATATATTTAAAATACATTTCTAATACATTTCTATAACTATGCAAATACACAGAAATAATAAGTCCTAAACAGACATTTCAAATTTCTAAGTGTTTTGCAGAGGGACCTGGAATTGGACATTCTGGTCAAGAGGGTAGATTTATCATTATCTGTAATGTTTTAAATAAGAATGTTATCATTAAAACAAACTGAAAAAATTCAGTGAACTTATGGGGAACTAGAGCAACGAGAATGAGAGTTGGTAGCCTAAGTTGAAACCTTTCCTGGAATTTGGAGAATCTCATCATCTCTCCAGCCCTTCCCAGGCACACCAAAATCCCAGTAAATTGCTTCATTCAGCGAAACAGATCTATAGTGAGAATAACCAAAGACCTGCTGTCTACCTAGGAGAATCAAACAGTATCATTCTCAAATGTGAACAGACAGCTGAGGATCATCACAGATGATGAAGAGTTATCAGCATGATGAGGATCAAGTGACAGACTAAACCTGGAGTAGGTGAAGTTATATAATGAGAATAAAGCTAAAAATGTACATTTGAGATTGGAATAGATGTTAGACTTTTAAAGCAAATATGAGAAGCTACCAAAAAGAAATAACTCCTGAGAATAAAAAAAATTACTATTATAATAGAAGATTTCAAAGAAAGTTGTGGAAATTCTTCAATTTCATAAATGTGGAAGAAAATGAGAAACTTGGAAGTCTAATAGAAGGCCTGTCTAGTTAATATGAGTTCCACCACACATACACACACACACAAATAATAGAGAAAACAAAATAGGAATGTGTCAAAGGATTAAGAATCTTTCTAAACTGAAGAAAGTTATGAATGCTCAGCTAGGGAATAGCTCACTTGAATGTTGGGCAGGCTGAACTGGCAAAAACCATATTATAATAGAAAAAAATTTTTAAAAGACACCCAGAAATATGCTTGTGGAATTCTGTAACACTAAAGAGGACACGATCCTAAAAGCTTTCAAAAAACGTGTATTTCTCCTAATAAAAATAATCGAGAGAATTAGCCTTCCCTCCAGTGAGCAATATTAGATTGTAGAATACAGAAGAGCAGCTTCTAACTTAGGACTTGAAACTGCTTTGAATCTAGAAGTTTATACTGGAACGGTAGTGAAACATGAGGCCAAATACTGATATTCTGTATATACAGTTTGCTTCAGTTTACTCCCACTTGTCTTTCAGTAGGGGAGTGAATGATTAGCTTTAGCAAAATCTGGATGGAAAAGGAAAAAAAACAGAAAAGGCCTTAAACAGTGGATCTAACCTAGTAAAGTGGTGTTGAGGGTGACTAGGATAATCACTGTAAAAATCAGACCAAATTACTGGTAGGCTAGATATCCAGGGAGTCAGTGAAGAGAAACCAGGGAGAAAGGAAGGAATGGGTTACATTAAATAGTATTAACACGGAGTTTGAGGATTTCTGTAATATGGTGAAAACAAACATTCATCAGAAGGAAAGACAATTATTGGCTTGGGAAAAAACAAAGGAGAAGCCATACCAGATATCATGGTCCTAATATAAACCAAGCCCCATAAAATGTGACATGACTTTGGAAACAGAATATGGGGGAAAAAAAATTTAAGTGAGTACTGGGATCATAACACTGGACTTGTAGAGGAGGAAATGTAATCTTCACCAATGCTTGGCTCTGCCTCTTAGGAGAATAATATTTATACAGTGATAATGATCTAATGCTATTTTACTTCCAACTTTAAAACAGACAAATCCCTGACGTCTCTGTATGTGTGTGTATGTATGTGTATAACAGACCGCATGACTGTACTGTACAGTCCACAGAATTCTCCAGGCCAGAATA